TATGTAATATAAATCCCATATATGCTCAATTGCACCAAAGTATAATATGTTTGCATAGATAGGATTTTTATCCTTAGTACTGAAAATATGCATGGAATGAGCTACAAGAATTACACCACTAATTTGCATTGTGCTCCTATCATCTTGCTCCCTTGTATGAAATATGTACCCATTGACAAGGTAAGCAGTGTAAGAAATGGCTTATCTGCTTGGATTATTAGCTAACCGTATCAATTTTCAAAAATTGAATTGGAATCAACATTTAACATTTGAAGAATGTGCTCCTTAAACTATCTTGTAAAATTTTTATTATGTTCCTTGGGATACCAAATTTCAGATCTATTGAGATTATCCCTCATAAGTTGAGCCATATGCTTGTCTACATACTTTCCAACCTCTTTAGTGTTGTGCAACACATATAGATGAGCTTACTCCCACTGTACACTTGAGATAGTAATGGCCTTGTTTCCCATAATCCCCTCTCCACCTATTCTACTTGTATGTCGAGCCTTTAGAAGCCCAACATAGCTAATATGGCTCAAGTACTCAGTACAAAAGTCAATAGCCTCTTCACAAATATACCATTAAAAAATGTAACCCTCTGGTCGACTCCGGTTTTTCACATAGCCTTTGAAAATCTTCATATAATGCTAAATAAAATACATCCATCTTAAATGAGCAAGCCCACACGTTTGAACCTCCCTAACCAAGTGAACGGTTAAGTAGATCATAATATTAAAGAATGTCGATGGAAAATACATCTCAAGCTCACATAGTGTTGATACAATTCAAGCTTGCAACCTTGGCAACTTATATGGGTTAATCACTTTACTAAAATGGACTTGAAAATCAAACATTACTTAGTGGTCGTCCCTTGTACTTTAAGGGGTAAAATTACATATATAGGCATCAAAATGAAATCCTCCATTAACACATGGCAATCATGAGACTTTAAGCCCTTCAATTTCAAATCTTTCATTGATACAAGATTTTTTATATTTGAAGAATAGCCTTCAGGGACTTTAACTACATTAAGGAACTCACAAGATGTAATTTTCTCTTTCTTAGATAGCATATGAGCTGTCAAAGGGAGAAAGGTATAGTTCCCTTATCTTGAGATGCCAATTCTTCTCTTATTCCTAAAGAAACCATGTCCAACCTTACCTTTACACCATCTTTTATTTTTCCTGACACTTGGAGTAAAATCCCAATAAGACTGTCATAGACATTTTTCTCAATATGTATGACATCAAGAAAATATTGAACATCTAAAGTGGTCTAATAAGGGAGTTTAAAGAAAATAGATCTCTTCTTCCATTCACTTGTTCTAAGGTGCCTTGCAAATGGTTTGCCAAATTCAATATCCAAATCCTTGATCTTCTCAAATAGCTCATCACCAATTAAAAACAAATGTGTCTTACCTTCTAGATTTCCATTGAACGCTTTTCTCAATTGCTGATAATAATGTTCTTCGTGTAAAAACCTATGATGCCTGAGGTAAACATTCTTCATCCCATGTTGAAGCCTCATAGAATGTGTTCCCTCTTCATAAATAGGGCATCCAAGTTGCCCTTTAATGCTATATCCTTACCAATTGCTATAGGCAAGAAATTCGTTGATTGTATCGAAAAGTATAGCTCTTAAATTAAATCTTCCTTCTCTATGTCCATGATATACCTCTATACCTGACTCTCACATGATCTTCAAGTCATTAATTAGAGGAGCCAAATATATGTCTATATCATTCTTAAGTTTCTTAGGTCCTACAATTAGCATGGACAACATCATATACTTACACTTCATGCAAAGCCATGGAGGAAGGTTATAAATCACCAAAATGACTAACCATGTGTAGTGGCTACTACTTTAAAGCCTATGAGGATTCATCGCTTTAATAGATAATACAAGGCATGGATTCCTACTCTCTTCCCTAAATTCAAGATACTTATAATCAGTCTTTCTCTATTGTGGAGAATCAGTAGGGTGACAAAGCATGCCATCTTTTATCCTCTCATTTGCATGCCATGTTAAGCTTTTCGTAACTTCTGCATTATTATACATGCATCTAAATCTAGGCACGATTGGAAAGTACCATAGTGCCTTCGCAAGACTTGATTCATTCTGCTTGTAGTGTGAGGTATTACACTTTAAAAACTTGGTTAATGATGCATATTCATTCTAAAATAAAAGACAATCATTAGGGCACGCGTGTATCTTTTCATAACTTATGTCAATTGATTGCAGCACTTGTTTTGCATTATATGTTCAACAAGGAAGCTCATTTTCTTTAGAAAGTAATTCTACTTTCAAATACCCAAGCAACTCAATAAAGCTCGCATCACTCCATCCATGTTTTGCCTTCATGTTGTAAATTTTAACACTACTAACAACTTTAATGCACTACAACTAGTATACAACGGTGTCTTCGCATCACTTTTTAACTTCTCAAACATTTCCAAACAATCCTCGAGGTCCTCTTCAACTGTTTTGACCATTTGTTTGGACAATCTTCCTCAAGTATACATGTGTCAAAATCATCAGGAGATGATACACAGCTTTCACTATGCTTTTAGCTACAATCAATATCATCCCTTGTCTTACCAAGCATTATCCAACACTTGTAACTTTGATCCATCCCATTAATCACTAAGTGTTCTTCACAAGTATAAACCTGCTTCATAAGACCGCACTTTAAACAAAGGCAAACAATCCTAGTAGGGTCCTCTACATACTTAACTGCAAGCTTAATGAAATCCCCCACCCCCTCCCAATATTCCTTAGACAGACTATTGGCAGATATCCATTCTTTATTCATAATTCATAGAAAGATTAAGAGGGAAATATGATTAGTGACTTTGACTACTCCTAGATAGTGGGAGAGTTAGATACAAAGATCAATCAGTCAATAAGTCACTAATCGTATGTTTGCACATTTCCTCTTTAATCTTATTTAAAACTAATAATTACATTTTAATGCTAGCTATTGAAATATTTTTGGTAGCATAATGAGTTAAAAAAAGAGAGTTTCTTGGGCTTTATCGCCTCTCTTTAGTAATCTAAATGACAACACCAGTAGCATCCCTAACAATAATCACATAAAGTTATATTCAAGAATAAGTTAAAAGAATTGACAGTATATATAACGGCTTAAAATAAGTATCACTAGGGCTTTATGCCTTTAAAAAAAATCAAATTATCCATAACGAGACTATATATGATCCAACAATAATAGTAACAATATTAATAAGAAGCCCAATTTTAATTAAAATCATATAAACTATATCAAACACTATATATATATATCAATTTAAAACCTTAAAAATATTTTTATGTAAGCCAATTTTCAATCAATTGAAAAACTAGTAATGTAAAAATTGACAGCTCAAGGAATATAAATCTAAACTAATCATTCAATTACAAAATAAAAACTGAAACTCAAAAAGATGTATGTACCGGTAGAGAAAACAAGGTAATTAGGTGATATATTATTTTTATATGCTTAATGAATCTCCTCATACCAGTAGAACAATTGGATGATCCATTAATCTAATAATTAAGCAAAACTTAAAATTTCAAGCACCCACTAACAAAAACAACAATGCAGATCGATATAATTAACACAAAAACTATTTATCGTGTATAAAAATCAAAATCAATAACCCATATATTCACAATAAAGATTAATGATTGGAAAAGCAAGGCCCAACCTCAACAAAAAGAGAGAACGTTGAATGTGCATAAAAACAAAGAGGCAAGTACGCTTGAGAATGATGGAGGTTGAGAATCCACATGCATGAGCACCCATGAGAATGATGGAGGCCGAGAATCCAAAACCCCTCAAGAATTGAGACCAAAAATATATTTTTTGGTAGTTGGAGTGACGAAAAATGGGTTTCAATGGCTCTAAGTCTGTTTCTGAAGGCGAACAATTTGCATAAACGGAAAGCAAAAATAATTCTGGAGGAAAATTTAAATGAGAATACTTGACAGTTATTTGAAAATAACCGTCAAGTTAATACTTGACACTTGTTTTGAAATAACCATCAAGTATATACTAGACATACTTGATGGTTATTTCAAAACAAGCATCAAATATTTGTATAATTTTATTTTTAAAAAAAATTATTAATTTGACGTTTGTTTATCTAAGACCGACATATAAATTTCACATTTATTTTATAATTATTTTTAAAAAACCATTAAATATATATAATTGACAGTTATTATCAAATAACCTTCAAGTATGTATTTTAATATTTGACGCTTGTTTTAAAACAACCGTTATGTATTCTCTACCTTTTTTATTTGTCATTTTTTTCAAATAAGCATAAATTATAAGGCGTCAACTATCCCTTTTTCTGTAGTAGTGCTAAAGGCATTTTAAGTAAAAAGATATTTAATTACTCTAATAATTATATAAAATTCCTTACATATATTGAAATATAAGACTTTTTAAAATGATGCCTTATATTATAAATCAAAGGATTATATTCATAAGATTATCATAATTTATAATTAATTATATTAAAAAATCTGATAGATACTCACAAAATTTAAGCAATTTAGACTACATTAAAAAATTTAGACTTTTGACAATTCTAATTTTTTTTAATAATTTTTACACCTCCGACATTTATTTTTAGGTGATTTAATTTGGAACCCCCTTGCTTAAGATACTGGGTTCAAGTGTTAGGAATGAAGAAAATTATTGTTGGAGGATTTTTAAAATATTGTGTTCAAGTTTTAATTAAGATATGGATTTAATTATTGTCATAAAAGTTTTGATAAAATTATTGTATGATTTTGGGTTCAAGTTTTAGTTTTAAACCCATGCGGTCCGACTCAAATTAAGCCAAATCAATCAAAGTTTAATATGGCATTCTAGAGATATGGTTGGTATGAAGAAACAAAATTTACAAATTAAAAACATGCAATTACAAATTTTTACATATGTAAACCAAACAAGCCCAAAAATTACATAAAACCGTATGACCAGAAAACCCTCCTCTCACATCCTCACACAATCAAAGAAAATGAATCCATCCTCTTCTTCTTCTTCTTCACTTTCTCCTCCAGTCATCCACCATCTTTACCTCCTCCTTCTCTACCTATAAGCTTATCGATCCCTCTTGATTTCACCATATATATATATATATATCTTGAGCGATCTGTGTTCTTGTCTGTTCATATATATATATATATATATATATCATCATGGGGTCTGCTATTTCTGCAGATAACAAGGTCGTTTCAGAAGGAGGATTAATGTCCAGCCCTGGCCTCGGTGATATTCCAGAAAGCTGTATTTCACGTGTGCTCATGAATTTTGACCCACCAGATATCTGCAGATTGGCGCGAGTGAACAAGGCCTTTCACAGAGCTTCTTCTGCAGATTTTGTGTGGGAATCTAAGCTTCCTTGTGCCTACAAGTTTCTGCTCCACCAAGTTCTTGGTGATAATGAAGATCACCATAATCAAAATCTCTACCATTCCTTCACCAAGAAACAGATTTACGCTATTCTCTGTCGACCCAACCGCTTCCATTCCGGTACCAAAGTAAGTGGATCTTCTTCTTCTTATTGTTGTTTCATTGCTCAGTATCTTAAGAAACGTAACATGAGGTATTACCACTACCTGTCCATACTATTCTGAACCTGTGCTGTGTGGGATCATTATTATTATATATTAACTGCCCGCTGCTCTCGTGGATATCTCAAGATGCCTTTGGCATAGGACTCAAACTCGACTAGTTAAATCAAACGCCCCTCGGTTAAGTGGATCTTAATTTTCTTCTTCTCATATCTTTCTAGCTAGGTTAAACTCTGAAAGAGCCGTGTACTGTTTTGAATATCTCATCTCATGAATCTAAAAACATGCCTCTACTGTACTGTTTTACCGTTTTAAGATCCGGATCAATCCAGATGAATCGGATGGGTCAAGGATCCATCCAAAAATTCAAAAACTGATTGTGCAGTATATAGATAGTGAGATATGAAGATAGAAAACCAAGGATCTGAGAGATTTTCTTCTTCTTTCCTTCACTATACTGCAATATATATTGTCGGTGTTGGATTAGATTTTGATGTGTTTTTTTTATTTTTTTTCATTTTATTTTTCTTTTGAATGTAGGAAGTGTGGTTGGATAAGGCTAGTGGGCAAGTTTGTTTGTTAATGTCATCGAAGTGCATGAAGATTACTGGAATAGATGACAGAAGATACTGGAATTATATTCCAACTGAGGAATCCAGGTGAGATCAGCTCATACGATATTTCTTTAAAAAATTAAAAAATATTTCTTTGATTTAATCAACTTAACTTCTTTTTCTCTGTTGAATACTTGGATTCTTTAATTAGAAGAACGTGGTTGCTTTGGCATTCTCCTTCTTTAATATATGATCGTTTTAATTTTGTTTTGATCTCTGGATTAACCATTGCTGTGTCTAGAGAATTTCTTACTTCATATTTGGTCAAGTGAATGAGAGTTATGTTCAGGCTAGTTTATTTAAAATTAAAAAAATTATTTTATAGTTAATTTTAACATTAAGATCATCATGAAGGTTTTGTTCAAGAAAAAAAATTATTTGTAGCTTTTATATGTATGTATATATATACATCGTATTATAACTTATCAAAATAATGTTTTTTTTCAATACATATCTTATGTGTTTAGCTTAATTATATTTCTTTTCAATAACTTATTCACACTCCCAACAATTTTTTTAATATTAAACAAATTGGCCCTGAGTGGTCTAAATTTTAATTATGATTCTTTTTAGTCATCTTAATCTTTTAGTATCTTCCAAAAATAGTGAAACATCATTTGATTGACGAAACTATGATATTTCACTATTTATATAATTAACTTTATTGAACAAGCAGGAAAGGCTAGACTCTCACGTTTCTGTTTTGTATTCTGAAAGTTCCACGATCGACTTTTGACATTTGTCCAATAATCACGCTTCATCATATAACAAGTTAATTAATAACTCTTGCTGTTTAGCATCAAGTAATGTTTAGGCTATAAATTATAGCAAAAAAATATAGGATATCATTTCTTTAATTGTGACAAGATGTTTAGGTTCTAAATTCACGCATAAGGTGTATTTTTTGTTAAAAAAGGAGAGAGAGCAAGCGATATGAACAGGGGATATTTTAGGTCAGCTGAAAATGACTTGTATTTCAGAAAAATAGAATATTTAATTTAATAATTTGAGTATACTACTATTTGTATTATATATTAAAGATATTTGAGTGATCTTGATATAGCATCAAATAAGACTACTTCAACAGGACGCATACTTTTTTTGAAAGAATTACATTCAAAAGTTAGTCAAGTCACAGAAAAATTAAAGACCAATATAGAAAAAATTATTATTAAAATAAAAATGTAACCTTTTTTTTTTAATGAAACTTATTATTAGTTCTTATCTATAAATAATTTACTTAAATAATCCTTAGATGGATTCTCCCCACTTTCTCTTTCTTTCTTTCTTAAAAAAATATATTTTGAGTGATTAGATCAAAGTTTGGTTAATTTTCAATTCAATAAAAAAGTGTGGTTTTATATATTATTCTGTGTATCATATGGTTTTTTTTTTTTTTTGATTGATCAATTGCCAAAGTAGGATTTGAACCTGGACTTCAAGCCTAGAAGTGCTGTGACCATAGAGGCAGCTAGCCATTGGTTGGAACAACATATGAAACTAGTCGAATTTATCATATTTAATGAGAATATGAAAAAAATTATTATGACTACGAACACACACATACATACATTATATGAATTTTTCTTTTTAAAAAATTAAAGGTTGAATTTGCCGAATATCGTGAGCCGAAAGTTGTTCTCTTGTTCTGTACTTTTGCTTTTTCACCCACTTCTAAAATGATCATTGCAAAGATTCTCAAATCTAGTAATGAGCCCAAAAATTTTCCTTGTTTTTTTCTTCCCTTAATTAAGGATTACAGCTCATTTGACGTATAGACAGAGAGAGATTAAGTATGGCTTATTAAACAATTTGCAAGATTGCTTTATTGTCCATGTCTAACCTATTTGGTTAAGATTAAATTATAGTTCATGTATTTTAATTTATAAAAAACTTTTAGGTAAAATTATACATATCAATAAAATTCATTAAATTAACTTTACAACCTTATTTTTTAAAAACATAAATATTGATTTTTAAAAATAATCTTAATTCAATATAATGTTATTTGTGAAACATTAAAGAAAGGGTAAGAGAGAATATAATAACGGATGGCTAATATTATAACAAGTATAATTAATGAAAATTTTATTTTTATCAAAATTTCAAATATTTTTAGACATTGAGTTACCTCCAAAAATATCTTATAAATTGGGATGGAGTAGCATGTTAAATTTTAATATTTACAAGTGGAAGAGATCTGTAAATAATTAATTTTCTTATGTAGAACCTATATACTTTTAATATAAAATATTGATATCATTTCAATAGTAAGGAGTAGGGAATAAATTAAAATTTAATAATCAAAATATTAAAATGCCATTTGAATATTTATTTGTATTTACAAATTAACAATGGGAAGAAAATAATGGGAATTTTTTATGGTGCAGATTTAGAAGTATTGCCTATCTCCAGCAAATGTGGTGGGTGGAAGTGGCAGGTGAGGTGGGATTTGAATTCCCCAAAGGGAAATACAGCCTATATTTCAGACTCCAATTGGGCCGGGCCTCAAAAAGATTGGGCCGACGGGTCTGTAACGTGGATCAAGTACACGGGTGGAACATCAAACCCGTCCGATTTGAGCTATCTACATCGGACGGCCAGCATGCGCTCTCGGAATGTTATCTTCTTGGGCCTGGTGATTGGGCCAACTATCATGTCGGAGATTTTGAAGCTGGAAATTCCGATGGGCCCATAAATATTAAGTTTTCGTTGGCCCAAATTGATTGCACACACACCAAGGGTGGTCTCTCCGTAGACTGTGCTTTCATATGCCCCACTCAGTTCTCCAAAACGGATATGAGCTAAATATTTTTTTATTATCATTCGTGAACTATATATTATGATGAAGGGAAAAAATGGTTATTGGAAAATAAATAAATATTTGAGTTGCATCAATTTATTTTTATTTTGTTATATTTTTAGATAAAAATTAATTCTTTGGTTCCTACAATTTTTATTCAATTAAAACTTAATTATTGAATTTCGATTTGTTGTAATTTGATATCTGTACCTTTGATTTGATTGAAATTCAGTGTTTGAACTTTGATCCAATGCATCTAAGTCCTATAATTTTAATAATTTAAAATATAATTTTTTATATTTTAGAAAATAAAATTATAAGTTTTAAAGTTATTTCTTAAATTTTAAAAATTAATGTTTTAAATTGTTAAAACTATAAGAATTGAGTTGAATTAAGTGAACAACTGAATTTTAATTAAGTCAAAACTGTAAACTGAGCTGCACTAATTGAAGTGGAATATTACAGTCGTCCAACTCAATTAAAGCATATATAATAATCAAATTGTAAATGAATAAAAATATCACATAGCTTAGCTATGCATAATTAGTGTTATTTTATGAACTTATGGAAATAGATGTGAGAGATTAAAGATATATTTCGATTCAATTTATGCCTTCTGATTTTTTAATATAATTATTTAATATATGACATTATCAAGTAAGATTCGAATATAGTCGAGGTAATTGAAGATAAATTTCTCCAAATAACTTTTTTATTCTCAATATTCAAACTTTTTAAGTTCGTTTCAAGAAAATTAAGTTCTTCTATTTAATCCTGCCAGTGAGAGCCCTATGAGAATTGGCAATGGCTTTTCTTCTTGCCGCAGAAAAATCATGAAAAGGAAATGACCAGGTTGAGACAACGGGGAGATAATGGGGCTCCCCAATACTGAAGAAAGCCCAACTTTAATGGGCTGAGATCTTTTAAATTTGTGAAGCCCAATACAGAGCCCAAAATTAATACTGACGAGATCCCATCTTTCTGGGCCTATGAGAATGAGCCTGATTGACATCCATTGTATTGAAAAAGAAGCTTTATTATAATATTGATTATTGTAGTTGTAATTCAATTATAATTCAGTTCTTAAATTTTAATTTATAATTTTATTTTATAATTTTGACTTGATTGTAATTCATTTTTTAATTTTTGACTCTTACAACTCAATTCTTATAGTTTATTTATTTAAAATATTAGTCCTTATATTTTAAAAATAAAATTATAAATATTAAAATTATGTTAAAATTTAATACTAATATTCTAAATGACTAAAATTTTAAAATATTTATAAAGATTAAAATTTTAAAATATTTTAAATCTTTATAATTTGATTTTTTAAAAATACATATAGGAACTAATATTTTAAATAGTTAAAATTATAAGAATTGAGTTGTAAGATTTAAAGTTCAGATATTGAGTTATAACTGATTTAAAACTATAAATATAACTTACATCTGAGTAAAAAATATAGGACCAATAATAATTAATTTTCTCTTTTATATTTAAAGAAAAACCATGAATAGTGGAAAGAAGAAGGATCATTTTGTCATAAGGTCAAAGTAACGTACTTCTACCAGGCATTGATCATAGTGAAAAAGATTATAATCGCTTAAATATAAAGTATTAAATTTAAATTTGTGTGAATGTAAAATACAATTTTTGAATAATATTTGAATCTAACCCAAAATGATCATATAAAAAATGCAACATAACCAAGTTACACGGAACTGGATTTGGTATTTTTCTCCTCTTTCTCTTTTCTTTGATAATAAAACTAAATATACAAAATCCATGTCAATGTCAAATTCTATTTTTAAATGACATGACATATTTCTTGATTTTTTTTAAAGGGTGAGATGGTATGAAGCATGAACCATTAAATTTGACCATACAGTTGATGACCAGAGGAGTCAATGGTCGAAATATGAAATTTCAAGGTCTTGCTTACGGGGATGTTAATTAGGTTTTCCATATTTTAGCCTAATATTAGTAATAAGATCAACATTAATAAATAATGATTCAATTGATAAGAATTTGACCCATAATTTATAAGATTGTTAGTTCAACTCACATACGATTTATTCATCCAAAAAATAATAATAATAATAATAATAATAATAATAATAGATAACTATTTTACAACTTCATGTTTATGAACAGAAAAATGGGGGTATTTTTAGGATTTTTTTAGAAAGGTGAAAAAGAGATTCCTCTGCATCTGTAAAAAAAAAAAAAAAAAAAGAAAAGTAAAACAAGTCATGGGCATTTTTGGTCTTTCATTATTAATGGCTCAAAACCAAAAGAATTTGACATCAAGTTTTTTTTACAACCTGCTAAACCCTGGTTTTGATTATAACAATAAAAAACAAGATTGTGTTTTACAGAGTAATTAATTTGATAAAATAAGATTAAGGAAATTGGCTAAGTATTTTGAATTAATTTGGCGTAAGTGGCTTAGCATCGATACCTAAGATCTTCCAATCTATCTATTTTTGAACCCTTGTCCAAAAAATTCTCTTTCTTTATGAAATCCTATCTATGTTAAGTATTTGACTTAATTATATATCCTTTGAATCTTTAAATATCCTTCTAAAAGTTTTTCAAGCTAAGTCTTTTGTCAAAATTCACCTTTTAGAACTTCAATTTTGTCCAAGTGTCTTTAGCACTAGAACTGTGCTGTTCCTTTTACTCTGCCAAATATCTCTCTTTAGCACCTGTACTACTTGTGATCTCTTCTCTATTGACATTGTCCTATTCACTCTTTACAAATCCTTAGCACATGTGCTATGTGTGTTAACACTAGTACCATTTCTACTTCAAAATTTCTAGATGTTATGATTACGAGCTTTATTGATTAGCACCTGTGCTATTTTATAGCACTAATACTATCCTGCAACCTTGCATAATTTTCTCTTTACAATAATTCATCTAAGTTACATTAGCATAGGTATTAAGCTGAAGTTTCATGCTTTATTTTACATTCTTAATCTTAAACTCTTCGAATCACATTAATTTGCTCTTTTTTCATTTGCAATCAATTTTCTTTACTCTGTAACCTTCCTAAAATCTTTCTAAAACACAATTATTACTTGGATTAAACACTTTGTGATTCATTCTTGATTCATAACACCTATGCTAAAATGTTACACCAATATAAACCTTCACCTACTTCTGTCAAAGCATTTAATGTTATAGCCATTACATTATGTAAAGAGAAAATGTCCCTTGTAAAGTATTGTTTCATTGCTTCAATCACTGAAGAAGCTCAGAAAAGCTCAAAGAAAAGAACAAGTTGAGTGTAACTAACTTTCGATGGGAAGATTTGAGTCTAATGGATCATTTATAATTTTCAATTATAAATGAGCTCATTTATGAAGACAAGAGATAGAGAACAAAAAAGCCAACAAGAACAAAGTTCTGTCATTATTACGTATTCAATTAATACTTACTTCTAGTTAATCATTTATTACTTGTGAATTTCATATATTCCATATCCACTCTTAGAGATAGTTTATAATAGTAGTAGTTCATTCTTGAACTTACTCTATTTATCCTTGTTTTTTATAATTTGAATAGAGGAACTTAAAGGGATTTCATACTACCTTTATGAGGGGGAGAGTTTCAGACTTAGTGAGAAGTTTATATATGTAGTAAGACATCCAAGAGCCCGAGTTAATATTGGTGATATAGTTGAAAATCTTAAGAGGTTTCTAAAGAATATATGTAGACTCAAGTGATAGGATTCAAATCAAAATAAATCATCTGTGCACATTTTCTCTTTCATCTCTTTTGTTTAGTGATATTGTTTCTATACTTCCCTCATTATTTCTGCAAGTTTTATTTGAAATTTTAATTAGCCTAATTCACCCTCTTTTCGAGTCATTTACACAACTTATATCCTCTAGATTCTACCATGACCTATCATACAAAGAAAATATCCATTTTCTTGTGTATCCTGAAACATCCTTTTTACAATTACACACTCATTTTCTTATTCCCACAAAACCTTACCAACTTGGTGGTTTACACATTCAACACTCACATCACAATTTGCTCATCCTCTTGGCAAAATCCTCCTAAATTTCTTCTCACTTCCTTCTACCCTACCATGCTATTTTCTTCCTATCTGTTAACAACCTCCTTCTGAAATCATTATTTATGGAACCCACAGCAGGCTTCTCCTCATCAATCTCCTCAATCTTAGTCTTCTTTTTTGCTCTAGGGTTTTTTTGGCAATAGTGGTCACTTATCCCTTCTCCACTATTGATTTCTCCAGCATTCTCTATTTTTGCTTTTTCTACCTTAGTACGTGTAACATCTTAATTTTCTAACCCTGTGATTAACTATTAATAGGAATAAAGTGGTAATTAGTAAATGATTGAAAGGTTGGATAGTTTCTTGATAATTTGAATCATTGAGATGTTGAATAGACAGATATAGGTGAAAGAACTGTGTTTCATGGTGACACGCGCGCACGGGGTAAGGATTCTCCTTATTGTGCCACACGCTGTAGCACATAGCATAGAAATTTGATTAATAAGTCATGGATCAGTTAGTGAGAGTAGAGAGGAAAGAAGAGAAAATGTGAAAGGGAGAAGAGAGGAAAGGTTTGGTAGTTAGGGCAAGCATTTTTAAGCATTAAAAGGAACTTCTGACTAGTAACTTATCAGGTAAGCTTCGTGTAACTCTTACCTCAAATTCTACTATAATTTCTCTTGATATGAGTAATATAAAAATTGAATCTGAGAAATTTCAAGAGTTTATTTCTTACCCTATAGTAATAAAAGGTTCTCGAGGGTTAAGTTAGAGCTTTGTGATTGGTTTAAAGTTAAACGGTAAAGCTTTGAACATATAAGCTCAATTTGGCCTTAATTCAAAGGAATATAATGGTGAAAATGGAATAAAGGTGAGATGGGATTGTGAGAAGTGACATAAAATGGTAGTTGAATGATAGTGAACCTAGATGGGTGAAGTGAGAATGAATGAATAGCTAGTTGTAGCTTAAAGTAATAAATAAGTGTTTTTGGTCAATTGAATCAATTGAATACTTGTGCTAATTATGTGTAGATTAGCATATCTTGTGAGTAGAGTAAGAAAAGTGTGTAGAGATGAGGTAGTGATTGAGAAAGTACCACAGGTAACTTT